TGTCTGGCCTCATTCTTCGTCAAGGTCTAGGTCTCCAAGCTGGAGGTCCTGGCACTTGCAAATTTGGTGGCCTGCCTTGCGTTCATCTTCAGCCACAGACACAACGAGCCTCAGTCTGCTTATAACTTGAACTATGAGGAATTGCGCGCCCTCGTCGTGCTGGATCATCGCAATGACATGGCTTCAGCCTGAAAGTGCTGGAGTTGGCAGTAGCACGCCACGGCTTGCTGTCTTTGGTCTTCCGGGCAATCCTTGGAACATCATTGTCATTAAATATCAAAATTATGAGGTCTAAGTTTCATAGCAGTCTAACAGTGGGATTGTCTAGATGACTAAGAGGCCTTGCAGCAGGTGTCATGTCTTTCATGCTACAGAAGCCGGCACCAGCCAAGTTGCCAAAAAGAATCTGCATTGCGGAGACTGCATGATGCGACATTCTTGAATTACACCTTTTGTAACAAACTTTGCATGGCCCTCTTGGTCTTGGCAGGTTCGGTACCAGCAATCGGGACTCCGGGAAGGTGCTGTCGGCCTGAGTGACCTGATCTCGATGAAAGCACACACACACACAGAAACACTCACACGCACACACACACATGCCTGCCGAACGAAAGCAAATGGGGAGGTCCATCGCGGCATGGCTCGTGATGTCTTCGGGCTGTGGAAGGAGGCCCGTGTTCGCTGATAATCTTGACTAAATGCTGCAAGGGTAAGTCCTGCCTGCCATGGAAGGTCTCTCCCTTTGCTCAGGCCTTCTGTATGCTGTTGAGATCAGCTCTACTTACATTTTTCTCTTTGAAGTCCGCAACGGTTGTCCGTGCATCCGTGGCGAGGTCGAGACTTCAGGTCTTTGTCTTGGACTTGCTTCACAAGGCAGTGTCCTCAGCCAGCATGGTCTTAGGTCTTGCTGTGTTCTTTCGCACACATCCGACTACATGTGCTGCTCGAGCAACCGCATCGATCCGACATGCTTTGGGCTCCAGTTCGTCTAAGTCTAGGTCTAGCAGCCCGCGGGTCCTTAGTCAACCATGCCTGGGGGCGACAGGGAGGGACGAAAGGCCCGCAAGATTGAGCAGCGCGAGAGTGCCCGACTCTCGTCCGAGCACTTCCCTCTTTCCCCCCAATTCTAAGTGTCACTCCGAAACGATCTCTGGGTTCTCTTCAAACTACTTCATTTACAATCCCCAAACACCTTGAGAAACCGAGGTCACGATGCCACCAGCGTTGCGCAGCAGAGCCACGCAATGATGACAGCTGCCATCGAGGCCGGGTCTGCGCAGTACCAGACGGGGTGGGTGTCTTGGCATGTTTTGTCCAACTTTGTAGCGCAAGTAAGTTTTCAGATATTCTTCGTTTAGACTCTTAGTGTCTGCTTTGTGGTCTTTGGCATGTGCCGTGCACGAGTACTCAGGACTCCGGGTACGGAGTTGGTCTTCGGGAAGGAGGAGAAGAGGGCTACAGGTCTGGTATTCGGGAGGGCATCCGCCATGGCCGCCTTTACGGGGCGGATAACTTTTTCGCCAAAGGCTGGGCGAAGGGAGCTGCCGAAGCATCGGACTGGTCGGCCCCGATCTCCAGGATGATTTTTGCCCAGAAGTATGAGGAGCAGTATGGCAAGTGTGTCACGGAGGATGAAGACGAGGCCTTCATTGAGGAGCAGACTCGCGCACGCTTTGGCCCGGGCTTGTTGGGGTCTGGGTCTGGGTCTCAGCCTAGCAGCCTTGGCAAAGGCAAGGTCCAGGGCAAGGACTTCGGCAAGCAGATGAAGGGCCAAGGCAAGAACCCTGATTCCGGCACGAAGGGCAAAGGCCCGCCGGGCAAGACCTCCGAGGACAAGGGCAAGGCAGAGGGCAAAGGCCCGAACATCTGGAAGAAGGGATCCGAAGAGAAGGGCAAGGGCAAAGGCCCGGCGGGCAAGGCAGAGGACAGAGGCCTCAGCAACGAAGAGAAGGGCAAGGGCAAAGGCCCGCCGGGCAAGACCTCCGAGGAGAAGGGCAAAGCAGAGGGCAAAGGCCCGAACATCAGCAAGGGCTCCGAAGAGAAGGGCAAGGGCAAAGGCCCGCCGGGCAAGACCTCCGAGGAGAAGGGCAAGGCAGAGGACAAAGGCCTCAGCAAGGGCTCCGAAGAGAAGGGCAAGTCAGAGGGCAACGGCCAGGCCAAGATCACGACCTCCGAGGAGAAGAGCAAAGGCCAGGCCGCGATCAGCACCAACGAGGAGAAGCGCAAGGCCGACAGCATGAGCCAGCCCGACCCCGGCCAGGACAGCCCTGGACATTTTAAAGTTGTCGGGTCTTTAAGCAGGCCAAGGCCAAGGGACGAGCCAAGCCGATGCCCGCCAGGAAAATAAACAGAGATAATGATCCGGATGACTTGAATTAAAAGTTGGTACTCATTGTCATTGAAGTTAGGCAAGTCGGGTCAGCTTGGCTTCTAATCCACAAAGCTTGGGCAATGGGTCTTGATGTCCCCAGAAGTCCTTTTGGCTTCCACCTGCGAAAAACAAGCTGGGGGTGCGTGCTGTTGGTGCTTGAGCTTGACTATGCTTATGCAGTAGTGAGAGAGTTTTCGTTGAGCTCGCCCAGGTCTGGCGAGCACAATCCAATCTGGTCATGGGCTTGGTGTTTTCTTTGCCTCGCCTTCCACCATGAGCTCGCCAAGGTTTTTGGGTGTTCACGATGCAGTATGATGGCGGCATTTGGTCTTTACCTTAGATCGCATGTTTTCATGTTCGAGTCTCCTCTACGGACCTGGCATGTGCCGAGGTCTTGTGCCCATTCTTCAACCTCCACTTCCGGCACTTCCGGCATGCTTATGGTATGTTGGTGGGTCCCCTGCTGAGTGCGGTGTTTGTCGTGGATGCAGTGACGACGTATGTCGCAGTTTGTCTCGAGGACTTCCAGGTCTTGGCGCGCTGTCTGTAAACTGTCTCAGCCGTAGACTCTGCTGCCATGGCCATTTCAACTTCGGAGTTGAGCGGCTTCGCCCTGGTTTCCGGATGGTCTGAGATGGAAAGCAAACTGGGCGGCAAAGGCAAGGCCGAGATTTATGCAGAGTTCAGCCCGAGTGCCTTGCAGGCCGCCCATGGGATCCAACTCGGTTACTCATTGTCTTGTTATAACCAGCCAAATGAACTGGTCTTGTCTTGAGTATGAGCAGCCGCGTTTTCAAGTAAGCCACGCAATCAACTGTAGCAAAGCAGCGTCTTGAGTTTGACTTCCATGCAATTTGCAATACAAGTCTGTAGTTGAGCATTGCATTTCTTTCCTCCACGAGCTAATTTCTGTTGTGGCATGTCGACGCTAAGGAAGGTCTTCTAGCGGCCAAATTGTAACTAAATACATTGTCTTTTGGCAAGACACTCTGCAAAATTAGCTGTTCATGTCTCCAAACTGGGTTTACGCTGGTTTGAAGCATGTTGTATTGAACAGACAAAAACTGCTGCACTTGGCCGGTGTTCTGTGCTTGGTAGAAACATCAAACTTAGCTTTTCCACGGTCCAATTTCGCACTTTGCCAGTTGCACACCACCAAGCCATACACGTGATGCTTAAAATTGTGGCTCAACCCGAAATCTTAATTGTCTCGTACAATTGAATCATGTCTAAATCAATTGTTCCTGGCTCAAAAACTGCGTTTGCCAGGTGTTCTGTGTTTGTTAGAAATCTGCAAAATCAGCTTTTCCAGGGTCCAATTTCGCGTTTTGGCATGGTCTCACAACATGGTTCCCGGAATGCAGGACATGCATGTTGTCAGGCTTTTTCTAGCCTCCATGTCTTGGCAAGATCAGACCCTGTATCAAAACTGTATTATAAAGTAAAGCTAAACCCGAAAAACCTTACTAACCTGTCTCTTCAGAAACATACCAAAATCAGCTTTTCCTGGCTCCAAAATCGCGTTTTGACACGATTTGAGACATGGTTTGTTCTTTTCCAGCACAAAATCACATCGGCAGCTGGAGGGGCAACAAAAAGCGGTTGGCAATCCTTGCAAGTGTTCCGTGTTTGATAGAAACCTTCCAAAATCAGCTTTTCCAGGGTCCAATTTCGCATTTTGATCTGGTTCCACAACAATTGCCAAGCAATGCAAGAGCCAGGGTCAGCCATCGTAATTTCCACCCCCGATGCTTAAAATTTTGGTTAAACCCGAGATTTGAATCTTAATTGTCTCTTGCACTAGAATCACTCCAAAATCAGCTTTTCCTGTCTTCAAAATCACGTTTCGGCATGGTTCCTTGGCAATCCAAATGTTCTGTTATCGTTAGGAACGTGCAAAATCAGCTTTTCCAGGGTCCAATTTCGCATTTTGGCATGATCTCACAACATGGTTCCCGGAATACAAGACATGCACGTGGCAAGTTTTTTTAGTCTCCACGGCTTGATTGTGGTATAGCATGGCAAGACCAGACCCTGTATCAGAACTGTATTTTATACAGCTAAACCCGAAAAACCTTACTAACTTGTTTCTTCAGAAACATACCAAAATCAGCTTTTCCTGGCTCCAAAATCGCGTTTTGACACGATTTGAGACATGGTTTGTTCTTTTCCAGCACAAAATCACATCGGCAGCTGGAGGGGCAACAAAAGCGGTTGGCAATCCTTGCAAGTGTTCTGTGTTTGTTAGAACCTTCCAAAATCAGCTTTTGCAGGGTCCAATTTCGTATTTTGCTTGGTTTCACAACACCAAGCAACACACGAGATCCAGGGTCCGCCATCGTAATTTCCAACCTCCGCTATCCGACTCTGGCATGGAACCCAAGCTGCTTATTGATGCTTAATTTGTGGCTAAACCCGAAACCGTAAGTGTCTCTTGGGCCAGTTAGCACTGGAATCAATCCAAGACAGCTTCTCTCAAAAGGGAATTGTAGAGGTCGTTGGAATGGTCTGCAGGTTTTGGGGTTTCTAGTTCAAGAAAGGTAATGGCTTTTCATGTTCTTTGCAGGCTATCTGGCTCCGATCCAGAAGCGCGACGGCCAGGGCTCTGCAGATGAGGTGGTCTGAGCCCATGGATGTATTCAACCCCATGCCGACAAAGAGGCCCAAGACTGACGTCTTTGTGGCCAACGTCGCTCGTGACTATATCCTTCTGGAGGGCTTTCTTAACGGGACTCAGGACAAGGTCCAGGCCGACAAGCTCTATCTGAAGGGCAATGGAAATTTCATCATGCACAAGTTGAAGCTGAGCGGGGACTGGGACAGCGGCTGCGAGGACTTAGACTCCGCTTTTGTCGTGAAGGCCGTGCTGAGTGTCTCCACACCACCGGTCGATCGCGGTGTCTTCACATTTTACAGCATCAGGGACCCGGCCTTGAATGAGCGGGTCACAAAGGCCCTTGTCAGTCGTTGCCTGGACAAAGGCCAGAGGTTTCTGGATTTCTGCATGCGCTTTACTGATCTAGGCTCCTCAGACTCAGACCAGCTGTTTGGGGTTTCCTGCAGGTTCGGTCTACGATCACGGGTTGGAGGTGGCCTTCGACGACCCAAAATGTGCTCTGCTGGCCTGGATGTCTTCCGCGGACGGGACTACAGACATCATGCTGAACGTCCACCGCTGCGACAGCTACCCGGCCGGCTGCAGCTACTTCAGCAAGAAATGGTCTCCTCTTTGCGAGCCTCAGCATCGACGGTGAATCAATAATGATAGTTCTAAGTCGAACAACGATCGAAGATTGAGCGAGAGAAGGAGAGAATGAAGCATGACGGAGAGTCCTAAGGGGAAACTAAGCCTGTAAACCTAAACCATCGGACGACGAGATGGAGGCGGCCCGACTAGTGAACGAATAGGTATCTGCACCTAGAAGTTGAAGGGAGATGAGGTAATGAATACCAAAATTTCGATACCAACTGCAGTAGGATTTACATGTTTAGTTGAAAAATTACAAGTAATGTAATGCAATCTCTCTCTCCAAGGACTTCTGGGTCGGACCGGTCTCGAGACAGTCCGGGACTACGGTCGTGGTGAAGGCCGAGGTCTGTCTAAACGTCTTGTCTCGGATTCCGTTGAAGCAGCACATTGCTAAAATGAACGTGGACCACTTTGCCAAAGCGGTCTCGGAGTTAGACCGCGACCTGGTCATGTTGGAGGAACAGGCCCGGCTCACGAAGGAGCAGAAGAGGATCGCGACGGACGGTCTGAGGGCTGCGGAAGGTCACTTGCAGACACATGCGAAGCTGGCCCAGGTCAATGAAGCCCTTGAGCAGCTGCCGCCGGCTGAATCGTCTCCGGCAGCCGATGGCCTAGCAGTCTAAGTCTGTCCAGGACCCAGGACTTCAAGTTAAGTCTGCCTCGAGTTTAAGGGCCAGGACTCAGGACATAAGTCATGTCTGGGTCAGATATTTGAATCGGAGTGCACCAGGCCACCGGACATGACAGGTCTTAGAAATCCACAGATATACCATGCTGGGAATCTAAAGTAACTTAAGGGTCTTAGTCTTAGTATTATTGTTGAAGGTTGGGTTGGTCTGGCACAGTTTTACATTGACATTGCAAGGGACATCGGTTCTCCTTGTCTTTTAAGACTTGCGTGCATCATTATCTTCGGTGCCAAAATGGTCAGGTGCAGCTTTTCTCAAATTCAAACTGTTTCGCCGTCGCCCGTGTGCCGCTGCCAGGTCTCGGACAGAAACATCTCCATGGGACGTCATGGCATTCCAGCATGACAGAAGGCCTAGCTGCTGTTACATGATTTGCTCGACTCTGCAGTGCGGCTGTCAATGTTGAAACGTGATGGCAGGGCTTAGTGTGGGGCGAATTTAGTGAACGTCAGCACCCAAGCTGCTGTGATACAATGCTATTGTTACAGGTCTGCATAGACATTATGTTGCAGTGTCCGACTTCAACGGCCAGGGGCTCGAGTTCTGCAGTGCCTGTGTCGGATGATTCCTGGTTCAACGGTCTGAACCCAATGATCGGTCAGGCCGCCTTCTGCCTGTCCAAGCTGCCGAGAGATGTCCTGGGATCAGTCAGACACTCGGAAACAGGATTCGGATTTATGACACCCTTGCAGGGTTGGCCTGCAGGGAGTTTGGTCTTAGGTCTTTATGAGATTTGGTGATTGTTTGTTCAGCAGGGAGTACGGCTTGGATGGCATCGGATTAAAAACATTAGGCCTCCCCTAGCCCCACAGTTGCTTCATCCTGGGCAAGAAGGAGACAGTCAAGGGATGCAAACCGACGGTTTGGTTCTGATTTCTATCTATGACTATAAGTGAATGTATTGGGCCCTTCCAAGAGAGAATCTCGTCACCGACTGGCATACGCACAAGCAAAGGCCGCGCATGAATCCAGGAACCCTACACTATTTCATTGAGGCCTCTAATTCAGATCGGTATCAAGGACCTTCAGATATAAGAGTTCTGTCTCCTGTAGGGTTGTTCCGTACTAGAATTGCATCTCCCCACTTTCCCCCACTTTCAGCCGCGACTGCGAGCAAGCAGCCTCGCTGTGACCGAGCGGCAGACTATGGCGTGGGCCTCTTGACGACCCTCATCATGGGAGCGAAAACTGAGTGTTCACTCAGCTCTGGTTCCGTTGTGGTGAACTCCGGGCCCATGGTGGGCATTATCATGACAACCAAGTTCACCAAGAACTTGTGGTTGGTGAAAGTTCTTTCACCAGTCTTCTCCTCAGACCATCCGCGCAACTCCGGGTGGACGAAGGCGATGGCCTTGAAGCGACGGTCCGTGACGGTCCAGTCCGCCTTCAAGTTCAAGAGTCTGCAAGACTCCGAGCACGCCAGCCCCGGCGAGGCCGTCTTCATGAACGCAGATGCGGACTTCGACGGCTCTGACAATGGCCACCGTGCCATTTCGACCTCGACATTGCCGAGCCTTGTTCTTGCTCTTTCCTTCTCTGCTGCCCTGCTGTGCTGCTCTGCTCATGCTCCCCATTAGTTCTGCCTTCTCAGGGATGGTTTGGACTCCAGGGTTTTACGGTTTAGGTCCACTTAAGATCCCGAACCCGTCACACCATCATGGAATCACAGTGAATCACAGCAGCAGATAAGCACTAAGAGTTGAATGTCATCTCGTTCCATCATTTCTGGTTTCCCTAGGCTGGCGCCGCTTGCCCTGCTTCTTCTGCTGCTTCCCGTCTCGACTCCTGCTGGGCTGGAGATCTGTGAGGCCCTAAGACCATCTAAGCACCAACAAGAATACTAACATGATCCCAAGTAAGACACATTGGTCATTCCCCAGAAATTTCGGTAGGCTAAATATTAAACCCTGCCAATACACTTAAACCCTGCCAATACCCTTAGACCCTAAGCCCGGAAGCCAAGCGAAAAGACACCCTATTAAACCAACCCTAAGAGTAATTAAACAGTGGGGTTTAGGGCCAAGCACAGGCTACTTTTAGAGCAAATTACAAAACACACCTGAACTCCCAACATTAAACCCGGAAGAATGGTTTGGGTTTAGGCTGCACAAACCAGACTTAATAATAACGGTAAAGCAAAATTATCCTTACTAAACATGAAACCCCGAACCCTGTACTTTCGGGTTTAGCCTTTCAGATTTCGGCTTTGGGAATTTCAATTCAGGTTCCGTGTGGTCTGGGCATTTTGTCTGACTGCCCAGGTCTGGTAATGGCGGGACGTAGCTGGAATGCGGGCGCCTTGATGTGTTTTCTGCTGCATTGCTGGCTTTGCATGGGTGTTTAAAGTTTAAACCGGGGGTGCTGATCTTCAAACCACAGACTTTAACATGGCTGCTCAGTAATCATGCCACTAGTCTTTGTGCAGCATTTTCGGTGTGGGACGGTGGTCTTGTACGATGTATGATTATAGTCCAGAATTGCCGGCTTAAAGCTAGGCTAAGCCAGTTTCGGAATTCGGAGGTTCGCGTTTT